CTATGTCTTCTGAGGCTTTATGGAGGTTGGACAAGTTTACCAAGCTCTTCCTAGTTCACTTCAGTGGTATTACTTCAGAGGATCCCCAGGAGTATCTTGACAGCTTCCATGGGGTGCTACGGAACATGGGTATAGTGGAGACCAATGGGGTTGATTTTGCTGCATTTCAGATGACTGGTTCCACCAAGAAATAGTGGAGAGATTATTTGTTGATCAGACCAGCTGGGTCACTTGCTCTTACTTGGGACCAGCTCTCTCAGCACTTCCTAGAGAAGTTTCTGCCTATCACATTGAGAGAGGAGTGTCGTCGTCAGTTCGATTGTATCTAGCAGGGCAGTATAACGGTTACTCAGTATGAGACCCATTTTGTGGATTTGGCCCGTCATGCTATTCTTCTGCTTCCCACCGAGATAGAGAGGGTGATGAGGTTTATTGATGGACTTGCTCAGCCTATCATATTGTAGATGGCTAAGGAGACTGGGAGTGAGATTTCTTTTCAGGCGGCTGCCAATGTTGCCAGGCGAGTCGAGATGGTTCTTGCTCAGGGAGGTCAGGGGTCTGACAAGAGACCTCGTCATTCCGGTGAGTTCAGCGGTGCCTCATCTAGAAGCAGGGGTACTTTTGGTAGAGGCCATCCTCCCAGGCCATTTCATTCAACACTCCAGGCATCCCACGGTGCCTCAGGTGGTTGTGGTCCTCATATGCCTTATTCCGACCAGCTAGAATATAGTGCACCACCAGCTCCTATTAGTGCACCTCCACTCTAGAGTTATCAGGGTGGTTACTCAGGTCGATAGGGTCAGTTTCAGGGTCAGCAGTCACAGCAGCCGAGGTCATGTTATACTTGTGGTGATCCGAGGCACATTGTTAGATTTTGCCCTCAGGCAACGGGCAGCTCACAGTATTAGAGTTCTCGTGCCATGGTTCTGGCACCAGTTGCTGCACCACCTGCTCAGCCAACCAAAGGCAGGGGTCAGGCAGCCAGGGGTAGAGGCAAGACTATTAGAGGTGGACATGTGTTGTTTGTGAAGAAGAAAGATGGATCGATGAGGATGTGTATAGCTTATCAGCAGTTGAACAAAGTCACCATCAAGAACAAGTACCCATTGCCGAGGATTGATGATTTATATGATTAGCTTCAGGGTGCCCAAGTGTTTTTGAAGATTGATTTGAGATCTGGCTACCATCAATTGAGGATTGGGTCATCCGATGTCCCTAAGACATATTTTTGAACTCGGTATGGGCATTATGAGTTTCTAGTGATGTCATTTAGGCTTACAAATACCCCCGTAACATTCATGGATTTGATGAATCGGGTGTTCAAGCCCTACTTGGATTCTTTTATGATTGTATTTATTAATGATATCTTGATCTACTCCTACAGCCGGGAGGAGCATGAGAAGCACCTTCGCATCGTCCTTCAGACTCTTAGGGACATCCAGTTATATGCTAAGTTCTCAAAATGCGAGTTTTGGTTGAGTTTAGTTACTTTCTTGGGTCATGTTGTATCAGGAGAGGGTATTCAGGTGGATCCAAAGAAGATTGAGGCAGTCCAGAACTGGCCTAGACCCACATCAGCTACAGAGATCCATAGTTTCTTGGGTTTGGCGGGCTACTACCGTCGATTCATGGAGGGGTGTTCATTTATAGCATCCTCGTTGACCAGATTGACCCAGAAGGGTGCCCCGTTCATGTGGCTAGACGAGTGTGAGGCGAGCTTCCAGAAAATCAAGACAGCTTTGACTACGACACCGGTACTGGTATTACCCTCAGGTTCAGGATCTTATACAATATATTGTAACGCATCCCGTATTGGTATGGGTGCGGTATTGATGCAGGGTGGCAAGGTAATTGTATATACTTCGCGACAACAGAAGGTTCACGAGAAGAATTACCTTGTTCATGATCTAGAGTTGGGAGCCATTGTTCACGCGCTGAAGATTTGGAGGCACTATCTTTGTGGCGTGCCATGTGAGGTATTCACGGATCATCGGAGCTTGCAGTATTTGTTCAAGCAGAAGGAGCTTAATTTTAGGCATAGGAGGTGGTTAGATCTATTTAAATACTATGATATCACCATATTGTATCATCCCGGAAGGCCAATATGGTGGCCGACACAGTGAGTAGAAAGTCAGCTAGTATGGGTAGCCTTGCATATATTCCCATTGGTGAGAGACCGCTTGCATTGGATGTTCAGGCCTTGGCCAATCAGTTCGTGAGGTTGGATGTTTCTGAGCCCAGCCGTATTCTAGCTTGTATAGTTGCTCGGTCTTCTATGTTTGAGTTCATCAGAGATCGGCAGTATGACAATCCTCATTTGCTTGTCCTTAGAGACACAACACGACACGGTGGTGCCAAGCAGGTTACTGTTGGACATGACGGAGTTTTAAGGATGCGGAGTCGTGTTTGTATGCCTAATATTGATGGGCTTCGTAAGCTGATTCTTGAAGAGGCCCACAGTTTCCGGTATTCTATTCATCCGGGCGCCGCCAAGATGTATCAGGACTTGCGGTAGCATTATTGGTGGAGGAGGATGAAGAAGGATATAGTTGCATATGTAGCTCGGCGGCTAAATTGTCAGGAAGTAAAGTACGAGCATGAGAGACCAGGTGGTTTGCTTCAGAAGATAGAGATTCCTGAATGAAAGTGAGAGCCTATCACTGTGGATTTTGTTGTGGGACTCCCACGGACTCAGAGGAAGTTCGATGCAGTTTGGGTCATTGTGGACAGGCTGACTAAGTCAGTGCATTTCATTCCTGTGGCAGTTGACTATTCTTCGGAGAGGTTGGCAGAGATTTACATCCGCGAGAGCGTTCGTCTTCATGGTGTGCCCGTGTCTATCATTTCTGATCGAGGTACACAGTTTACCTCACACTTCTGGAGGGCAGTACAACATGAGTTGGGCACGCGGGTTGAGTTAAGCACAATGTTTCATCCTCAGACGGACGGGCAGTCCAAGCGTACTATTCAGATCTTGGAGGATATGCTTCGCGCATGTGTTATAGACTTCAGAGGATTGTGGGATCAGTTCTTGCCCCTTGTAGAGTTCGCCTACAATAACAACTACTAGTCGAGCATTCAGATGGCTTCATATGAGGTATTATATGGTAGACAGTGACGGTCACCAGTTGGGTAGTTCGAGCCGAGGGAGGCTCGTTTGTTGGGCACAGACTTAGTACAGGATGCCTTGGATAAAGTCAAGATTATTCAGGATCGACTTCGCACAGCTCAGTCCAGGCAGAAATGTTATGCCGACCGCAAAGTTCGTGATGTTGCATTCATGGTTGGGGAGAGAGTGTTGTTTCGGGTATCACCCATGAAGGGTGCGACGAGGTTCGGAAAGAAGGGCAAGTTAAGCCCTAGGTATATCAGACCTTTTGAGATTTTGGAGAGAGTGGGAGGGGTGGCTTACAGTCTTGCGTTGCCACTGGGGTTATCATCATTTCATCCAGTATTCCATATGTCCATGCTCCGGAAGTATCACGGCGATTCGTCCCATGTGTTAGATTTCAGATATGTCCAGTTGGACAAGGATTTGACTTACGAGGAGGAGCCGGTGGCTATTCTAGCCCGGCAAGTTCGCCAGTTGAGATCGAAGAGTTACCCTTCAGTTCGAGTGCAGTGGAGAGGTCAGCCTATTGAGGCAGCTACTTGGGAGTCCGAATCCGATATGCGGAGTAGATATCCCTACCTTTTCACCAGCTCAGATTACTTTTTTATGTCCGTTCGAGGACGAACAGTTATTTTAGAGGTGGAGAATGTGATGACCCAAAAGGTCATCTTATATTTTTATCCTCCTCGATTTGCGTGTGCAGTCCGGGTATTGGCCCGGAAGGCTTATATGTTAAAAACTGATAAAAATAAGAATTTTTGCCTAAAAACTTCAGTTGAGTTGACTTCGGTCATTGTTTTTGGTAAACGAGCCTGGATCCATATTTTAACGGTCCCGGTGGATCCGTATCGAATTATGAGACCTGAGCGTATGCCCGAAATCAAATTCGGAGGTCCCTTGTTCGAGTTATAAATTTTTGATGAAAATTAAAAGTTTAAAAGTTTAATGGTTTTTAAGAATTGGTGGATGTTTGGCCCTGTTGATACTGGGTTTGTATTTTGGTTTCGGAGCCCGGTATAGGTCCAATATAATATTTATGACTTATCTGTGAAATTTTGTGAGAAACGGAGTTGGTTGGACGTGATTCGGACGTCCAGTTGTGAAGATAGGAATTTTAAAGTGTTCTTGAAATATATATACTATATATATATATATATTCCTATGTTTACATGATTAAACTATATGTAAATAGTAACTGCCAATTTGATGTAAATATTGAAACATGTCATAATCTTACGCGACAGCTCAAATATTACCAAAAATAGGAAAATAGCCAAAAAAAGAGAATATAAATAAAAGCAATAGTAAACTGAACTAGGAATATTGAAACATGTCCTCATCTTCTGAGACAAATCGAATATTAACAAAAATTGAAAATAACTAAAAAGAGAATATAAATAAAAACATGTCATAATTTTCAGCGACGACTCGAAAATTACCAAAGAATTCGAAATTTAAAAAGATAATATAAATAAAAATAGTGGTAAACTAAATTAGGATAGCTATTCATCCATTTGCAAATTAAGAGATATTATTAAAAGAGTATCAAATACTAATAATCTTCTAATAGCAAATCACCACTGGTTTAGGCCTATGCCTGGAAATTGACTTGACCATTACAATATTATAGAGGTAAATTTTGAAAATCTTTTTAAAAATGAAGAGTACAGTCATCACTATAATTAATTATCTAAATTTACTAGCCTCATAACATGTGAACACTACAAAAATGAACTGGATTCGTATCTATGAACTACCAAAATTGAAAAACCAAAGGCTTCAATATGTTGGAAAAACTCTATAAATACCAGGCTTCTGTATTACAAAGTTCATATCACATAGTAACTCTTACTAATTAATACTAGTTATATCATCATTATCCTTGAGAATGAGTACTAGATGGACTAAGGTTCGCAAAAGTGTTCATCTCGCAAAGATAGAAAATCAGAATAATCGACAAGTGACTTTCTCAAAACGCCGAAATGGTGTCTTCAAGAAAGCAAACGAGCTTGATGTTATGACTGGTGCTGAAGTTGGCATCATCGTGTGTCCATAAGGTAATTACAAGCCTAATTATATTTTTTTGGTCAACTATATATACCTGATATACCATCAACAAATATTACTTTTTAAGCATAAATGTACATGCATCATCATAACTAAACATGCAAATCCAAGATCTTGAACATGATAATTAATTTCACATAAATTTAAAGCATCATAAAAAAATACTTGGTGTGGGAGGCGTTATAACAGTAGATAAATTGATTTCTCCCCTCTTGCCCTATTTTATATTACCGATTTCTCTCCTTTTTCTCTATAGATAGCAAGCCTTACTCTTTTGGTCATCCAAATGTAAATGAAGCCATTAAAAAATATGTTGGCGAAGAAAGGCCTCCATCACCATCATCACCAGGCATTGATGACAAGTATGTCCAGATGTTCCGAAAAGTCAATTCTAGAGAACTTAACACACGACTCAATTCTCTGCAAGACCAACTGAATTTTGCATTAAACTTGAAAAGCAAACTCAAGCAAATGAATAAGAAAGTGGAGAGCCAACAAGAGTGGTTCAAGGGTCCTATAGAGAAGATGAACTACACTGAGGCTTCAATGTTGAAGGAGGGATTGGAAGATTTGCTCTTGAAGGTGAAAAACTATGGTACTGAGCGTGGTTATGGTTATGAAAATGGAAAGCGGAAGGCTGAATAAAAGCTACTACTAGTTTTATTTTAATAATCGTTCGTGTCATTTATTTTTAAAGGTTAACCTTGGCACAACCATAAAGGTTATCGCCGTGTGACTAGGATGTCACAGGTACAACCCATAAATAATATTTTGCAGAAATACAAAATAAGGCAATCTACAACAGACCAACATAGTCATTGTTTCTCTCTTTCCCGGTCGTATCCTGCACATAGCAGAAGTTTAGTGTAGGAGTTGTTCTAGTTAATCATTTTTTTGGGTTGGGGTATTATGTGGTGTTTTGGTGATATCAACTATGTATGCATAATAAAAAAACATGACTGTGATGGAATATAAGTAGAGTTATAAAAATTATATCTCAGTTTCAAATAATTCAAAAAATTAAAATTAAAATAATATAATGCTATTGTTTAAAAACCTAAAACTACATAACAGATCACAAATACTTATTATATTATAAATAGCCAGAATATAGTCTTCAAAATTATATCTAAGCTAGAGAGATATCAAAAAAAAATTCTAAAATCAAAAAGTAACTTGAAAAGAATAAATTAAAGAATACAAAAAACAAACTTTAAAGAAATTAAGCATAAAGAAGAAAAATGCAAACGTGGAAGGAAAGTAAGAACTAGAGGCCAAACCTTTTTGTACTTTGTATTTTGCAGACAAAAGTCTAAAGTGTTCTTGTTTCTCAGTAAACGACAAAGAGAAAAGATTGTTAAATAAAAATAAATAATTAAAAAAATATTGACTTTTGAATTTTTTAGTTTGAGAATTCAGTCTGAATTATTTTTTGAATATTTATATTTCAGAAAAGGATTTATTAAGCAAACTCAAATTTGAAAACGTTTTTGGGGCTTACGTCCCAAATAAAGGCCTAGAACAATGGGGATTACGCCTAGGCAAACACCTAGAAGGTTGGTGCGTACGCCCCACTAGACAGCTAGGGAGCTATAATCTTGCTTAGGCAGCTGCTGCTATCAATTCTAAAGTGGAACCTCAAACCTGAATTGGAACGAAATTGGAGCTTTTCTCCCATGAAATTTCTTAAGTATACATAGTGCAAAGAGAGTTGATCTCTCATCGTTCCACACATAGTTTTTCTTTGAAATATTACATTGTAGCACCAAAATCGTTAGGGTACAGTTTTCCGTTGCTGAGAGTGTTAGCCCTAAATCGGACACGCAAGTATACATGGTCAAGCAAGTAATAAAGAGTGAGTAGAGTATCGTTCCCACGAGGACTTGTGATCAATTATCAACTAAATCAAGCAATTTCTAATTTATCGAGTCAAGAACAGTTTCATGGTGATTTTTGCTGATTAATTCTACTAACTAAAATTGCGATTAAGAGAATAACTAATTAACTAGTACACTTAGCACGAAAGGTTTAATTCAATGAGAAATAATATTCCAGTGTTATAGTTATGTAACAATCCTGTCGAATTATTCAATTAACTTAACTTATTAATTTATCTGGGTTATTAACCTGCAAAGACAATAATACTCGTAGAAATTCGACAACTTCTACTCGCCTATTCAATTTATTCTAAACCCAATATTTCTTTGAGAGTAGAGATAAAAAGAACGCATTAATAATCTCTTATACAATTGGCTAAGCACGAAAAATAGGTATATTTCTATCTGCATTCGCAAATTAATTCCTCAATGACAAGGTTCAAGATCGCACTCTGTTCAATCCTATTGCAATCAAGAATTACCTCTTTCAAGTTCAACTCAAGATTCATATATAATATTTTACTGTTAGCTAGCCAGAAAAATAATTATGCTAAGGATATGAATAAACAACCCAACATGATAAATTAAATAATCAAATCAATATTCGAATATCAACATTCATGTAAAACCATAACCCTAGAATGAACGAGTTTAGCCACGCATAGTCATGGTAGCAATATCAATTAATTCCCAAGAATACATAAATATCAATAAAAGAAGGAAAAAAGAAGAACTCAAGATGAATTTCACGATTTTCAAACTCTGCTATGGATTCTATATGTTTCCAAGTGTGTTCTTGCCTCCCTAGGGTCTTCTCTCCCTTAAAAAAGTGGCTAACTATCATATTTATATGGTTTAGGGTTAGTTGGGCCGAAATTGGGTTTTCCTAATTCGGAATGGAAAAGCTGATATTTTTCTGCTCCAATCCCGGTCTGGCAAAGTGAACCTCGCTTTGTTGTCCGGGACTTTTCTGGTTTCTTCTGCTCTGGTCCCTGTCTGGCGAAGTCTCGCTTCGTTGCCCAGGACTTTTCTCTTCAGCTCCTTTTCACCATTTTTTCTCCCATTTAATCATTTTCCGCGCAAGTTTGTTCCTACACATAAGAAACACGTAATGAACTTATTTTCACTTCTAAAGCGGTGTGATCTCCCGCAACTCACATAAGAATTAATACACATACACACTCTGCACTTTTCTCCCTTTATCATAGAGTAAAGATGTTACTCTGATTTTCTGAATATCTGCTTTATGGACATATTGATAGCGAGTCTTTTTAATAGTATAATAACGTACTTATACTGTTGTCTTGCCCGAGTATCAAACTAAAATTTGGATCTTTTTTATTTTACTTGATTATTGGCTATGCAGCTATCTGCTCTCGTCAATTCTATTTTTTTTCTTTACTAATGAGTATGCTTTCCGCTGCCATCCGTTAATAAGGCAGTCACTTTTTAGGTGAAACATTTTACATTATTTTCTTCTATTCTGCTTGTTATTATGTATCCTCAAACCAGCCTCTTTAAAATCACTGTCAGAAATACAAGTTGGAAAGAGGTATATCAAAATATAGTAAAACAAAAATAACTATTTTTGTGGAAATTTCATAGGGAACACAATAAAAATGAGATTTTTGTTGCTGAATTAAGTCTAAAGATAAGTTTATTTACTTATAATCTGATGATTTCCCATTTGTGAAATTGTTCCACCTCATCTAAAAGAGTTGCTCTAGAGCCTATTAGTTAAGGACTGGACGCTCTAAAATCAAGATGTTTGCTCCTAAGTTGTAGAGATTTGAGTTATGTACAATCCTAGGAATTTAACCTTAGAATTAAAAAAGAAAATGTTAAATGATCAATATAAGCTTTTATTTTAATAACACTGAGTTTTGCATTTGTCAGTAACTTTTCCTAAAATGATCGGTTTGATGAGTTGGATACTATACTTTTTGACATAATTTGCTCCCTGATTTTAGACATGTACAATGTGTCACAACAAGTATCAAAATATTTACGGCTATATAAAGGTTACAAGTTAATCCAAGGATTACATAATGTAACGACCCGACCGGTCGTTTTGAGCTTTAGCGCATCATTCAGTGGTTTGAGACCCTGAGCAGCTTCACTTCAGGTATTATGACTTGTACGCGTGGTCGAAAATTTAATTTAGGAAAGTTCGGAGTTGATTGGAAAAAACATTTTTAATTTCGGAAGCTTTAAGTCGGAGGAATTGACTAAAGGGTTATTTTTGAGCAAACGACCTTGGAATCGGGATTTGAAGATTCCAATAGGTTCGTATGATGCTTTTGGACTTGGGAGTATGTCCGGATCGGGTTTTGGATGACCCGGAAACGTTTCGGCTCCTATTGTGAAAGTTCGCATTTTGAAAGGATTTCATAAATTTGGGTTGGAGTGCATTTCAATGCTTTCAATGTCCGTTTGGGATTCTGAGTCTAGGAATAGATCCGTATGGTGATTCTGGTATTGGAAGCGCATTCGCATGTGGATTTGGAGGCCGGTAAGTCATTTTGGGGTCATTTGGCAAAAGTAAGAAATTTAAGAAATAAGAAATTTAAGAAGTTTGACCGGGAGTGGACTTTTTGATATCGGGGTCGGATTCCGATTCCGGAAGTTGGAGTAGGTCCGTAATGTCGAATGTGACTTGTGTGCAAAATTGAGGTCAATTGGACGTGATTTGATAGGTTTCGGCATCGATTGTAGAAGTTGAAGTTTCAAAGTTCACTAAGTTTGAATTGGAGGGTGATTTGTGTTTTTAGCATTGTTTGATGTGATTTAAAAGCTCGACTAAGTTCGTGATGTATTTTGGGACGTGTTGGTATATTTGGTTGAGGTCCCGAGGGCCTCGGGTGGATTCCGAATGGTTAACAGATCGAGTTTGGACTTGGATGAAATGCTGAGACAACTGATATCTGGTGCAATCACACCTGCGTGACAAGGGCTGTAGGTGCGAGCCACGAGTCACATGTGCGAAAGAGAGGAGTCTGGTCAGCAACCGCAGGTGCAGAACATTTGGGCACTCCTGCGAAGTGGGCAACGCAGGAGCGGGCGATGGGCACAGGTACGGCGCATGGACCCCAGATGCGGGACTGTTGGGCCGAGCTGGAGCCGCACCTGCGATAGAATTTCCGCAGGTGCGGAGCCGCAGAAGCGGCTATTGCACCGCAGGTTCGAGGATCCCTGAGCAGTGAGGTTTTATAAAATAAAATTTTGGCTCATTTTCACTTCACTCCGTCCATGGGAGCCGATTTTGGAGCACTTTTGGAGTGTCATCTTCATCAACTATAATGGGGTAAGTGATTTCTTCACATTTTGAATTAAATACATGGTTTTTACATGGATTCAAGCATGAAAATTTGTAAAAATTTGGGATTTTGAAGAAAAACCTAAAAATTGGTATTCTTGGATTTAGATCATGAATTTGGTCATAAAATTGAGAATAAATTATATATTGGAGTTAGTAGTGCTATGGGTAGTGTTTGTCTTCGAAAATTTTTAGAATCCGGGCACGTGAACCCGAGGGTTGGTTTATTAATTTTTCGAGCGGAGTTGGAAATTATTATAAATTGATTAATTATGAGTATTGGAATACATTTTGATCTGGGTTGCATCTTAATTTACTAGTTTGGAGCGGCGGGTATCGATTTGAGGTGTTAGAGAGGCTTTGAGTCGGTTATGGAATTTCGGAGTGAGGTAAATCTTCTGTCTAACTCTGTAAGAGAAAAATTACCCCTAGGTGTTATGTTGATGTGTGCT